TTTTCAACACAGCTGTCTGGCTTTTTGAACTGTGGCCTTTAAATAATATTTAACAATATAATTAAATATATTTAACAAATTGATATATAATTATATGTATAAATATTTATTAACACATAAATATTTATTATGATAGTACAATATAATATTAAAATTATATAAATGTAATGTGTGTATACATATATAAAAATATATATATTTGGCTGACTTGTCAGAACTGTAGGGAATGTGAACTGGTGTTGTTTTTAAGTCTGAGAGATGTTTTGCAGATATTTTCCTCCTGAAAATAATTTCATGAAATGGTTGTCTGTCAATCTTCTTACAGTGCTCTGACTCTGATCTTGTCCCCAGGGGATGCACAAGGATGAATGGACATTCAGGAGGCATTAGATCTCGTGGGACAGCACGGATATAATTCTTGACATGTTCAGAGGTCCGCCGACTGATATTTATGAAGTCACGAGCAGGTGAAGTTAAAATGAGGGGACAGTGGAGGTGGGTCCATTTTCAAAACATGACCGCAAAACTATATTTAATTGTGGCTTTTCTCTCAGACAAGGGCTTTCTGGGAGGATGAGGAGGGAAGCGGATGGAGAGGCTTGTGACGGTGGCTGTCAGGGTGATAGTGAAGCTCCCCAGCAGCCCCACAGACGGGTAGAGAAGGGCAAAGGGGTGGAGCTGCCTCCCCGTGACCGGTGGGAGCTGGGTTGCTGCGAGGGTGAGTGGTGCCACAAGAAGTGACAACCATCTTACTGTGACACCGTGCTGAAAGATGGGACACAGAGAGCTCCCGGTGACAGCTGGCTTCCTCCTTTTTCAGAGGAGGCCGCTCTTCCTGAGCCTCCCTAGAAATCCCAGTCACAGTAGATCCTTATCAAATACTTGTATAGATACAAAGAGCTTAAGAGCTCTGAGTTTCCTCCTATGTAATAAAGGAATGGGAGATCTTCCTTCTTACTGCTGTGTCATTAAGGTTAGTTCGAGTCATGTGGGCCTGGGAGGTTGAGCGCGTGGGTGATTAGCGTGGGTAGGGCTTGGTACCGCCACGGCTACCCTGATAGTATTATCTGAGCTGGCTAATCTTAAACTAGCTGGGGTGTGAGCTGCAGCCAAGGCATCGTCACGGCGAGCGCGTTCAGAAGGGCACTTCCCTTCCTTTGCCATTTCAGGGTAGGCACGGGCTGCTCTTGTTTAACGACCTCTCTGTCTTCAAAGCCACCACAACGTGAGTGAGAAACCATGATGCAGGTGAATAGTAAGAAAAAACAAACAAAACCCCCCAACCCCCTGCATTTTCTAGCTCTTTTAAAACATATTTTGGATGGGCTTAATGAAACAGCTGCAATAGGCCACCCATTGCTTTCAAGATTCTTTGGAACTTTTGATCACTGCTTTGAATGTTTTACATTGCTTTGTTTTCTTTAATGTATTAATAAGTAGTTATAAGTTCACAAAAATAGGGTATTGAACTGAGTAGATGGTGTAAGCCCTGCTAGCCAAATCTCCAGGAGGGGGAAATGCTCTCAGGGCCCTTAGAGATGGGGAGAAAAGTTTTCTTCTGTACTAGAATTTCCTGCTGTGCTCTTTGATCCGAAGTACGTGTGCACAGTTATCTCTACCTTTGAGACTGCCCCAAGCAGGAAACATCCCTGTTTACATACTCCTTCTGCAGGGGAGGTTTTGTTTTCAGTGCCAGGTGAACTGTTTGGAGGCTTTATTGGTTTTGCCTTGTTGCTCTCGGAGCAAATGAGCCCCAGGAGCCCAGGGTGCTTCGGCTGCTGTAGCAGGGTGGCTGGAGAGCCAGCTGGAGTCAGCTCTGTCCATGGGGGTTGGTGTCCTCTCTGACCAGATAATTTCCTATTAGCCGCACCCCAGGTATGAATTAAAACATGTGCTACGAAGGATGGCTTGAAATTTCTCATGGAGCATTATCAAAATTGGGGTTTAACACTTGCATTGTCCTAAATTTCTCACAGCTAGCTCCGGTCTCACGAGGCTATTCTCTTTAAAGTGTACCTTGGATGGTTGAGCTTTTCAGACAGAGGCCATTCCTTATAGCTATAGATAGTGTGTCAGAAATAGTAACCTTGTAAGAGTCTTCCAGTGTATTTGCTGTACAGCAACACTTCCTCCATTTCTGCAGGACGTAATTAAGAGAGTCTGCGTGCAATAAAAGCTCCACACAGTCCATTCTTGAATCAGACTGTTTTTCAGCCTAGGAGACTTTTAGACAGAGGTCAAAGACTGGCTTTCAGAGAAGTGGAAGATACTATTTCTGATCACTTACAGTAAACAACAAACTGGCTGGGAAACATCTCTCACAATATTTGATGAAAAGTTTCCTCACCTCCTAATTTACGATATGCTTTTTATGAAAAATGTACCTTCACTTCCTCCTTCAAACATCCAATATTTAAAGGCAATAACATTCATGCTAGAGTGTTCTAATAGTAAGGGAGTATAACAGCTGCAACCTGTGATTCCGTTTTGATCAATTTAGGAAAGTTTTGATAAGTGGGTGGTATTCACAGCATAATTTTAATACTTCAGAGTTACATAGTGGTTTGTTCTATGTGCAAAATCACTGCAGCTACGTGTGCAAACGGGAAAGCAGCATGTATAAATGGCCAATTTAAAAATAACTGCATACCATACCTGTCTGGGTGCATAATGGCTATGAATTGCACCATTTAGGCTTCCAATAAATGCATTCGCTGATTTGGAACCTGTAGAAATGTGCTGCAGGGTTCTTTTTGGGTTCACCTTTGGTACGACACTATTACAGCATGTCATCTTTATGATCTTTTTTCTCAGTTATGAATTATCTGGTTGAGTTTAGGTCTCAATTTGCAATGCTTGTTTTCACAGGTTTGAATTAGTTCTGCGTGGCAATGAAAGAAATTATCTATAATACTAACAATAAAGACATTGATGACATTGACTGTGATGCCTCATAGCCCAGGTAATGGCACTGTCCTCTGATGAAAGTTGATGGCTAAGGAGTAGCAGATGTAAAAGTAATTTCCTGATTTATTAAAAAAAAAAAAAAATCGAACACCATTTGTTACTGGTGGTAGGGCAGTGTTTATTTTCATAGCTATCTTCCATAATTCTTGCTCTGTCAACACCACAGGATCTTAGATAATTAATTCTACTCTCCCTTTGATACTGTGCAAATGAACGGTCTGTCTTGCAGGAAGGGTGTCTGGACTGCGTGTTACCCAAATTCAGAAGCAAGGATTCCATGCTGGAAAGCAAATCACACCTGCTCTCCAAAATGCCCAAGGAAGTACTCTGACTGTAAGGTAGTTTTGAGGTGCAGTCCTGCGTTAAGAGCTGCTCGTATTTATCTTCCACTTAAATGGTTCTCTTGTGCTGGCCATGAAAAATGTCTGCTACTTAAGCATTCATTTTTTCATCAAATAGAAAACATGAGCATCCTCCCTGTTGAAATTGGTTTAATAAACCAGTCCCTCATTTAAGAACAATGTCTTCTATAAAGTAATAGATTTGGTGATAAATGACTCCTTTAAATGGGTTTTCTTCTGGGTTTAATCAGTCTGGTTTGGCTATTGTATGTAAAACCATGAATTTAGTAGATTGTGCCTGTTACAGAGGCAAACCAGGATATAAGATATGACAGCTATTCTCCTTCACGGGTTTTAGATTTACAAAGGTAAAATGGCCTATTTAGGAAGATTAAAAGAACTGAGGTTATTCTAACCTCGAGAGAAGACTACGCTGAAGTTAGAGGAAAAGACTTAAGTCCGTGTATGCATAAGAGGTTGTTACAAAAAAGAAGTCTGGTCACGTCCATGGTGAAATGAATTCATGGAATTAAATTCCATATTAGACAAATATTTTTTTTTTCCTTTTTAACCTTAAAAGCAGGGCAGTAGTAGAGCATGACTTCCTAAGGAGAGTTCAGAAGTTTGACAAATATTTAGCTGAAAGATAGATCTTGACTCCACCGTAGGCAGGCGTTGGATTAGATCCCCCCTGCTCTGAGGTCCCTCTGCTTCCAGTGTTGATTCTGTGATTCAGAAACAAGTGGTTCTGATTTCTTAGGGATTATAGAGGTCTTCAGTAAGGTGAAATATGATGAACTTCTTGTGTATGCTTGTCTCTTCATCAAAACACAATGTCCCCTCCTACTTCGCCCCACTCTCATCTTTTTCCTTTGCCTTGCAACTTTCTTTTCTCCATCCAGAGAGAGGTGTCTGCAAGAAATACTTTCTCTTTGTATTGGCATTGCTCTCCTGAAGACTTTTTAGGAACTGTAAGAGGGAAAACAAACAATTTTTCTCATAAGAAATATATTTCATTAATTTTCCAGGAGGGTCTGTTTACACAGAAGCATCTAGTCTCAGCTCAAGTTACTGCCGTTAAGTCAGTTGTTCTAGAGTGAGCACAAGGTAACGGATTGAGGTTGAATTCTGGAGAGGTGCAGTTAGAGCCTTGATTCCCGTTTCTCTTCATTTTGTCATTAGTGAGCTTCAAGCTCACGTTGTCTGTAGAGCTTTTCTTGAACTTTTTGTTTTTCTCTAAAGGTTATTGTGGATGGAAAACATTTGACTTGCTGCTCTTTTGGGGCAGAGCTCATCCAAGAGCAGAGGCACAAGGAAGCCCGTTTGTCACTTAGAGTGACAGTGAAGTTTAGAGGGGCAGATGGTGGCACCTCTTTGCCTGAATTCTGAAAACAACCCATTTCTCTGCAGCTTATCTAGATTAGTCAGGGACTATGTCAAAAGATGTGGGTCTGAGCAGTGTCAGCTTACTGGAGATAGGATCTGCTGATGAAACTATTGGCAGACATTTACATAAATTAGTACCTGCTCTGGGGCTGTACGCTGTGACATTTCCTTGGATGTCAAAGGAACTTGGCCTTTGTCAGTTGGCTTGTGACTTTTGTATTTGAGGGTATTGCCAGCACAGCTGGTGCTGTGCGTGCTTGTGGATCGCTGTCAAAATGGCTGCGGATGCCTTCGGTGAGAGGCGCGTGAAGCCACGGTGCCATCAGCGTGTCATTGGCCCTGTGTCATGGGATCTCTCTCTGCAGAGCTGGCACCAAATTCTTTGGTATCGGTGACAACAAATGTGACGGGATCTTTTGCCTCGTTGAATGGGACAGCTGTGACACGGCCTTGGATTACTGGTGGGATGCTTCTCCAAGTGGGTAAATGACTTCTTTACAACAGGACTTTGGATCAGAGGTCTGTGCCTCCCTTCTGTGAAAGAGGGGTCCCTGGGCGGTGGGGGGGGGAAACAGTGATCAGGAGCTCCGGTTGCATTCCCTGGGGTGTAAAACGATGCTCGCGGTTCCTGGGCTCTCGGCTCCCAACACTTGGAGACGATTCTGCTCAGTGCTGGGAGTGGAAACTTTTGCTTTCAGTTCGTGGGGACTGAGCTGCACACTGCCCGTGTTGTCATGGCCAGGGTGGCTGCTGTGTGCAAGTAGTCACAGTGGCAAATTCCAGGTAATCACTAATTCGTTACTCATAGATTAATTCAGGTTCCCACTCATTGGTCATTCGTGTTTTGCAAGTAGTATTGCTATTTTGTTTCACTTCATTATTTACGTCTGACTACTAAATGGTATGGAGACAATTAAACATCACTTCTGCCATTTTAGATTGATTTTTCAACCATTTGTAACTCTCTTCCAGGTCTCCAAGCAATGCATTTGTCTCTTGCTGGGAGACCTGACACATCTCTTCCAGAACTCTGTACTATACAGAGAAGACCTCAGAGCCTTTTCTTGTGAGGCAGTGCAGCAAACTGTTGTGGCTGTGTATCTCCAATGGGCAGTCAACCTCACGTATAAAATTGTCCTTGAATATTTTTATTGCTCATAAGCTACTGGCGTAATATAATAATAGTAACAGCGGATCAGTGGCACTCCTACTTCTCTCCTTGCTTGTACCTTTGTACGTCAAAATGGGAATTGTACTTTGGGGCTGCTCCTGCACCTTCTGGCTCACCAGGAGGTGGTGGCTGTGCCCTGTGAGCAGCTCTGCTGTCTGTACCCCTCGAGGGCCATCTCTCCAAAGAGCAGTGACTTTGGGGTGATCCTTCTCTAGCACTTGGCTGCACACCGCGCTCCTGCTGCCCCAGGTGGCTAATGCACCTTCCCATGACCTTTGCTTCCTGGCTTGAAGAGAAGAATCCCTCTGGGAGGATGTCACTGCTCTTGTTGCAGTTAAGACACTCTCATGGCCTTTATTCAGTGCGAATGATGCACTCTTAGTCTTCTGTTTATCCTGAACCACTGTTATGCACAGAAATGCTATATTTCCTCTGTTCTCCTTTGGCTTTATATTGCGTTTCTCTCTTCTCCACCTTCTGTCACCAGACCCCTCCACTCCCTCCTGTTTTCTGCTTCCCATCAGACTTGCATTTTACCATCTGTGTTCCACTGGACTCTTTCTTAAGAAGTGGAAACAGTGGACTAGACTAAATTGACCCTCCTATCCCATGTCCTCCCCTAAAAGCAAAGTGTTTGCAGTAAAACACATTGAGGCTCAAACCACAATGTCATTAAGTAAAATCTTTCCTCTTTTGCAGGCACTCCTTGGGAACTGGTGCCACCAGATAAAGTTCATTCCTGAGCTCAAGCTTGTTGCCTCCTGCTCAGCAGCTGATAAGAGCCATGATGCTTATTTTGCTTCTATTAAAATAACACAGACTAACTCTGGTAAGACAGGTCTCTGCCTCTGTTCTGTAATTTATCCATTGCACAATGGTATCAGGCAATACTGCTCTTATTTTAACATTCTCTTCCTTTCAGATACAACATACTGGTACCGAACTTTCAGGTGACGGGAAACCTAAGTTGAGGAGAAGATGTGGATAGGGCTCACTTTTTTATGATCATTTTTTTTTTTTTTAACATGTAAATAAATGAAGCTTTTGAAAGTTGATTTAGACTACATGAGGACAGCAGAGCAGGAGAATGATTTGGTATGACTGGATCAGTTTCTGTAGGAAAACTGTAGGAAGCGCTGCCCTTTGGAAGCATCCCCGTGGGCTGGAAGGGGATCTGGAGGCGTTCTCCTTCCTGGCTTAGGAGCCTGCGTGAAGTGGATTGGCTCAGGGCTTCCCAGCCCAGGGAAAACTTGCGGTCTTCTGCCAGCAGAGCAGGATTGCCTTTGGCAGACCTGGGAGTCGGGGTGCAGGGGGATGACGTGAGACTGGAGCGGTGGCCTGGGCAGGGGGGCGGGTGAGGAAGGCTCCTGGGGAGGCGTGGGTGTTGGCAGGGGGATGGGGTAAGGGAGTGGGGGAAGCTGGATATCCTCCTGGTCAATCACCTCCCTCAAATTTCTGGTTCACCCCTCAGTCCTATTTCTCTGCCTTTTCTTGAAAATATTACTCAGCTTTCCCACCACTTGAATTCCCCTTTTCCTTTTCTTCTCACCTCTTTCTTTTTTTTGTTCACACTCCTTGACTGTCTCTCTTCTTTATATGCATCTCATTCCTCTTTCATTCCTGTTTCCCACTTTTTCCCCTCTCGTGGCTCTGCATTCTCCCATCCCCCTTCTCTGCTTTCATAATGCATTTAGTCTGGCAGCAATCCACCATCTCCTGAAAGCTAATGGGGTACAACAGAAAGCCCCATAGTTGCTATTTAGCATGCTGGCAATTGTCCAAACGTGTTTCTGTATCTGGTGTGCTGTAAAGTTGGGAGACATCGGACAATTTTTTTTTACCTGCAGCTGTATTATTTGTGCTGTTTTCTTCAGCCTCAGTAATCATGGTTTCCTCTGTCTTACCTATTTGGGCTGTGCTCTGCTCTTCAGCAGCGTAGGCTGAATAATGTCTGCTTGGAAACTGTGGGTCTCTGCAACTGCAGTTTCGCCTGTCCAAACAATTCTGCAATAACAAAAGATGTGAATGTTAAATTACTGCTTCCAAGAATCTAAAATCCCTATTGCTGGCACCTGGACTCCTAAACTTACCTGGCGTTAATGCTGGTGCACAGGGTAACGTTGAGTCTTCTGTGGCTGTCATAATTTATCAATCTGTAAGTTTTGTCTTATTAAAAAGATCTTTCTTGTGCGTTTCAATAGATGAACTTAAAGGAAACAGGGTGGTGATTTGGAGGCTATCCTCCACATGGGCTTGTTGCCCTTCTCCCCAAGAAAGTAATTTCTCTGTGCTTCTGACAAACTTGTGGTTTTTAAACCCAGAGCTTCTGGTGGTCCCTCTCGGTGTACCAAATTGAACTCTGATGGTGCTGTAATGATCTGCCACCGTTTAAAACCTGCTTGTTTTAATATGCTGAATGAATTGAATGATTTTCTGCTTCTGGCTGTAGCAGAAGAGGATTACCACCAGGTGGTACTGTTGGGCTTTCGTTTGTGCTGTAAACAGCCTGGGGTTTGTGATGGTTTTCAGGGAAGGATTTATACGGTGGGATTAACCTGTGCCATCTCTGCGGAATTTCTTTTGTTTTGTTATTTGCACATAAGATTTGTATATGAAGGAATTTCAGCCCATGAGTGGCTTGCAAAGTCTCAACTACTCCCCAGATATTCAGAATTTGGCATTGGAGGTGTGCTGTTGGTTGTTTAAATTGTTTCTCTGGGGGTCCACTGCTGCTGGTAATCTATACACCTGCATCCTTTCAAACCGTGGGGGGGTTTTTCTTTTGTTTGTGTGTTTTTTTTTTTTTTTTTTTTTTGTTAAGAGACTGAGCAAACCTGGGATCGTGCTGCAGGGCACGAACTCCTTCTCAGAGCCATCCCTCATGTGTGCTTCATGGCGAGGGGATGGAGGCTGGTCCAAAAGAGGATCCTTTTAGAAATGCCTTTTCTGTCTGCAATTTTCTCTGCTGCAAATTGATACTAATTTCCAGGCATCTTGGTACGTGACTTCTGTCTGAGCTGCTTGTTTGGGCCCCTTTTTAAAGCCAAAATTTGACCTTGTTTTTTTAATTAATTGGCCCTGTGTTTCCTCCTTCACCTGTGCTCACAGCGATCGCTTCCTTTCATGTCAATGTTCTAGTTTTTAGCAGTAACTGTGTTTCTTCCATTAGAGTACTGGGTGCTGCAAAGCGCCTGTTTGGTGTCCGAGCCTCCCGCTCAGGGGGATGTCTGGGACTTGTAAAGCAGAGAAACCAGCCATCCCCAAAGCAAATCAGGGACCCCCTCTGCCCGCCCGCCCTCCCTCCCTCCCAGCAGCAGAGCCCGTTGCCCAGGCTGTTCATTCCCTTTCCTTGACAGCGGTTGCAGTACGTGGCTGCTCCAGGAGGCTGGCAGGCCTTTGCAAGCACCATCACTTACACTGACAGGCTGTTATTTTTCTATTAGGACTCTCTGATTTTAGGTTGTAAATCACTGGCTATATTACTTGCCAGAGCCCGGTCCTGGCTGTTGTGTATCCCAGGGATTGCATGAAGAGTGGCTGCACTTGACTTCTGCTCCCTAGCTGTCCCTGCCTGCAGGAAGAACACGTGCTGCTGCACCCCTCTCCTGAGCTGCTCATTCCACATCTTCTTTCTCTCTGCCTTTTCTGCATGGATCGTGATGTCATGCATCTTTGTCTTTCTTTCTCCATGCAGTCTTTAACAGCTTCCAAAATCCTACTGCCAGCCCACTGCAAAAGGAGATTTTCTCTTCCTCTCTAATTCCTCAGGAAGGAATGAAGGGACCAGCTGCGTGCTGGGTTTCTCTGTTTTTCCTTCTGGGAACAGAGTTAAGAATTTGCATAGCATTTCTGTGTAGCAGTGGCTTTGCATGAAATGAAGGCCAGCATTGGCCCCTGCTCTTCTCTAATCATTCTTTACCTGGATGTGAATCTAATCAATTGAGCTTCACCGTCTGGATGGGAGCTTTCTTCTAAATCTGGTTAGGTCAGGAATTTCTGTCTGTGACCACTACAGAGGTTCAAAGTTTGGATACTTCTATAAGCATCTCTCCTTTTTTCTTTTTTTTTTTTTTTCCTTGCCTTATTTTTATCCAACCTCTCCTCTTTAATATTCTCTGATTTTTCTATAACTTTCCCTTTTGGTACCTGCTTTACTTTCCTTGGAATTCTTCTCCTTCAGACAGACACAGACCTGTCCTACACAGCCTTTACTGAGAATCTGCAACGTGTTTCAAATGACCTGCTGTCATTTTCATGCATAGCTGTATATTTTCTCTGCTCATAGGCCATCAGTGATTGCTTTAGAGAAAGGCATCCTCTGTTTTGATGGTTCCCCAGAGATGAATTTATTGGCAAGACCCCATAAAAGTTCTTTTTTTTTTTCTCCATTCTGCAGCTGAAATCATACATGCTTATAATGGCTATTATTTCTGACACTCACTGTTTTATTAGTAATATTGAGATTTGTGTCTTAATCAGCCAGTTGATGCTGGTCAGCATTGATGGCAGTACTGTTCTAGTAGTAGGGCAGAACTGTGCAGAAATTTCTACCAAACTTATCATATGCTGCTATATAAAGCCTGTATTCTGTCAGGGTTCTCCTGTAACCTTAAAAATAATTAAGTAGCATTCATGCAATTAGAATTTTTCTGCCTCCTGATTCCCTGTCTTTTTGGCCTTGTGACGTTTGTTGCATATTAAAATGACTTCACTGGGTTGTGCTTGATGGATCACTTTTATTTGAAAACCATTCCTGGCAGGAATATATTGAATTGTCCTGTTGTTGATGCCTGTTACAGTACAGTGAGCAGCTTCTTCACATCCACCACCTTCCTGGTGAAAGCCGGGACATGAGAAGGATTTCTCCTCTCCCTCAGCGTACCTGCAAGGAGGTCGTGGTTTGGACAGGCTGATGACAGTATTTCGGTACACGCTAGGCTTTAATGGCCCTCTCACTCCTAGCACAGCACTGCAGATGTCCTTAAGGCATTGTTTCATTTCTCTTTGAAAATTGTAACAGAGCCTCCAATTCCAACAAGCTATATTTACCAATCTCCTAATCCAGTTATCGTGCCATTCCATTTGTCTGATAGCTATTGTGTCCTGTCTCCATCAAGAGCTAGTAATGAGTTTGTTCCGATTTATAGATTTGCATAATGAATAGCTCTGAAGTTGCGCGTTACCAGGAGTTGGTGCCTAACTGATGGGATGCTGATGGCCTCTCTGCTCTCGGGGCCGGGGTGCCTGAGCCCTAGGCACACAATCCACCAGGCAGGGCTGTAGCCAGGTGTCCCACCCCCCCACCACCCCCCGCCTCTCCTGACTCTGGCGTTACCAGTTCTCCTGATGGATGCTGAGCTTGGTCCATGCAGACACTCAAATTATACGTGGGCCAGCTCTTCAAATTACACCTATGATTACTTAAAAGTTTTTAAAGTTAAATTTGTTTCTCATCAGTGCTAATTAAGACATGGAGATGGGCTTTGCTACATTATGTGTTATTACTGTTCTGCGGTCCTGTCTGGCCTTTGCCTTTCCTGGGCTGGGACTGTGGTGGATATTCGTAGAGGTGTTATGGTTTTGGAGAAGTGCCCACTAGAAACTAGTTGAGGAGTGATAGAGAAGTTATCCAAATAAAAGCAGTATGCATATTAATAGTACTCCAGCAGTAAAAAACACGTAGAATTAAATGCACTGTGTTTGTAAGAAATAGCTTCACTTTTAGCAGACTGAAACATGAGCTAAATCTGCTTTCTTGCACATCATAACGTAAACAGCTTGATGTGGAACAAATCTTCTGCCACACTGATGGAACAAATTTAGATTAAAACTCTGATCATGACTCACTCGGTGCTCTGATTGACATGTTGGTGCTCAGAATCTCTTCCAGGCTGCACTGCTAGCACCTGAGTGGGCTTGTTGTATGCTTTGCAAATGCATTGTGCTCTTTACCTTAAGTTTCCCAAAGCAGTTGATTTTGAGGAAAGTAGA